GCGAGACCTAACCGCCGGGTTCCTCGCCCTTTGCGTAACCTGTAATTTCACCGTTGAAGGGTAGCGAACCTATACCCTATTAGGGAGTGATAATCGACGTACGATCGACTCGATCTTGATAATTTTTCGATGGGTTTAGCCTTCTTCGAGGGTGGGTAAGAAAAGCGACGTCTCGTTTCGACGCGGTTTTGTCGGTTTAATCGGGCGTAGATCTCGTAATAGATGGCCATTTTCAACGATCGAGATGGGAGAATAGGAGGAGGTAAGAGGAGAGGAGAGCGAGATCTTGGAAAACAAGCGCAACGAGGCTCGTAAGATCCATCTATTTCGAGTCGACGAGTGGAAAAGTTTGAAGTTTCAGCGACGAGCCAGCCAGCCAGCCAGCCAGACTGCCTACGGGGAATACGGAGAGGGTAGAGGTGAGCACGAAGAAAGGGGTCGGTGAAAGTTTTGTACCCTCGTCAGGAAGGGTGGATGCTCCCGTGAAAAGCATCGGGAGGCCGGAAGTCGAGACAAAGGCGGCCGACTTCCACGCCGACTACCACCGACCTGCACGCGTTCCTTTCCCTTATACCGTTATTAATGAGCCTATCCCGGAAATTAAGCAGCCGGCCATCACGCGAGGTGACAGGATTTCGCCGGATTTCGCGCGAGTGCGAAAGCGTTCCAAGTGAAAAATTATATCGAAATCGTTCGAGTAATTTGTTGGCCGTGATATAACAGTTTTCGAAAATTGGCAACTCGATTATCGCCCAACTTTGCGAGCTTCTCGTCAAACGAGAGTGATTAAGAATGATTGATAATAATCGACGATTGATGATCCGTCCGCATCTTCGAGAGCTGATATTCTTTCTCCGCGTGGACTGGAGTTCCCGACGATATCATATCATATTTTATCATTCTCCACGGAGGGAATGCAGAAGAACGAGCGTTGTCGCGAAAGGAAAAATAGAAAGACTTCTTCCCGAGCCTTCCTCCCTCTAAACCGAGTACCAGTATATATACATCCGAACGATGTTAAGGGGCAATCGGAAACGGCGTGCGTATCCGTCTAGAATCCGCGCTTCCAAACTTATCCCACCTCCGTGCATATAAAACACTTCTTATCTGAACGCATTAGCTCGGCGACGTTGCCCATTGAATAACAATGGCGAGGCATTACGCTCTCGAGGACCAAGCTTATCCCTGCGTGCTATCTGGGAGACCCGCGCTTTTTTCTTCTTCTCCCCGATTCCACCAGATACACCTCGATATACCTCCAAAAAGTCTGGATGTACGTCTCGTCAAAGTCGACGGATATTCGAATATTTACGGCACAGTCGAGTAAAAACTTGGCGAGAGATTAAACTTTCCTCCATCGTGCGATTTCGTGCGATTTTCGTCGAAGTTCGTTCACACTCGTCGTTTCGAGGGAAGCGCGTTCCAAGCGTTTCGAATCGACTACGAGTAACGAGTGTTCCCTTTCACGATTTCGTTGGGATGCAGGTGTTACGGAAGGCAATAAGACGCGGGGAAGAGAAGTTGGCGATCCTCGTCGGAAGTAAGTTCTCAACTGCGCCACTCTCGCGAAACTCTGCAACATTAATTCTCAACTCATAAGGTGAACGCGAGATATATCGGGGCAGGGGATTCACGTGCAATTTTCATGATGGAAAAAGTCTGGGGGTCGTGACAGGTTCATCTCGCACGCGTCATTTCAATTTGCCCTCCCTCCTCCCCAGATTTTCGTCGACAAATATTGCAGCCGCCTTGTTTTCCGATGGCCTGCGCCTGTCGTGTCGCGGCAACGAAATTGCTCGAGAAAAAGACCGGGTCGAGTGATATCAGTTCGCGAGACGCTCTTATTGTTTTAAAGGTAGACAGCTTTATTTACTGCCCGACTAACCACGGAAAGTGGCGTGGCTTCTCTCTCTCTCTCTCTCTCTTCCTCTCTCTTTATCCCTTTCTCCATCTCAAATTGTTCGTGGAAGCTGATGTCGCGGATTTCGTCCCCGTTCAGATTTTCTCCACGATTGATCGCGGATGCAAAAGACCAGAGAGCTCGAACGAGGGGACGCGCAATGTTTCTTTTTTACATTCAAAGAGGTTCAAAGAGGAATTTCATAAGGAGGGGGAGGGAAAGAGAAGAGTTTTCCTCCGTCGTTTCGTGGAGGAGATTCACCGTGGTGAGACGTTTAGTTGCAACACCTTGGCGACTAGAGATGATTGTTGCACCTCTTCTCGATCCTATAACTCCGGACATTGCGTTGAAAATCGTGGGCAAAATTTGCGAGTTGGCTCGTCTAACGATAACGCGAAACGGTAACGCGAGCGACGAAACGGGTGACGTTCAACGGGAGGTTACGATAGATCGGGACTGTTTGGTTTGAATGGGAGAAACGTGTTTCGCCCAGGGTTTTAAAAATGCGGAGAATAAACTCGACGTTCGAAGGAAAAGGAACGGGAGCAAGGAAAGGAGATGGTGGAGATTTTTCTTTTATGCTCCTGTTATTTTCGCTCGATTCATCGAAACGATTTTCGTTATTCAACGATGGTCGAGGTTGTTTTGAAACTTGAAAGGTTCTGGAGGGAAACATTTCACCGTGAAATTGTTACAGTTTTTCGTGGGAAATTTCTACGTGTCTGTAATGCACGTATTAACGCACGAAATATTGTTACTTGGCAAGATCAAGCGAACGAATATGTTATCGCTAAATCATTTCTTCAAGAACGACATTAATATTTATTTCGCGTTGCCGTCGTTGAAAGTCGACCCGAATCTGCCATGGAATCTCGGAGAAATAAACGTATCGAAAAAAGAAAGAAGAATGGGAAGGGAGAGAGCGGATGAGAAGGCAAGCGGCGAGAACCGTTGGCGGTATATAAATAAAAACCGAATTTAAAATAGAAAATATATCTTTCCGCGAGTTGTCCTATAGCGCGAAAGAGAGCGGGGTTGGAGCGTTATTTTCTGAAAAACTATCGCAACCGGTAAGAAGAAGAGCGCAGCAGCAGCCAGCCAACCTCCAACTTCTTATTCTCCGACCACTCGTCGAGTTCGTGCCTTGTTGCGGAACTTTTTTATTTATAAAATTCTCACCACCGAGAGAATTACAGCTACGCTGGCATCGCGACACTCTTGTTTTCCGCGGCAGTATCCTCTCAAGCTTCCGCTCAAGATACCGATAAAAAAGCAGGAAGAGAGAAAAGTAATTTCTCTTGTAATTCCTATCCTCGCGATCGAGGGAAAAAACAGAGTTCCCAGAGTATCGTATCGCTTTCCAGAATTATTTTTTTACCATCATCCATTAGCGAGATGTAACGTTCGATAATTTTTTTCCCTCGAATGGATTCACACGAATTATCAGAGAAAAAGATGAATGGATGATGATAGGGATTCGTTCGATGCAGCAGAGACGAATCGAGCACGAATGAAGGGAACGTAGGGTATTGAAGTTCGAAGAGAAGAGAAGGAAAAAAAAAAAAAAACGAAACGAACGCGACCACAATGATATTCGTTATTGTGATTTCGTCACCGCAGAGTTGATTCTATTTGGGTCAGAATCATTAAGGATTGCCTTTCGTTTTCGCGGCGTGAAAACACCAGCTGCAAATACCCTCCAATACCCTTCTTTCCTTCCCTGCTTGCGCTCTTCTTTGCCTCTCTTCTCGCGGGTCAATACCTTTCCGGCCCCAATTATTCCCCACCAGCCTCGAGGAAGAACCGGAAAAACTCCAAGGCGCCATTGAATCGTGTCCATCCACGTCTTCCTTCTCCTTCGTTCACGGATTTCCAACGCCTCTTCTTATCCTCTCGCCTCGTTCTTTCTTCGTCTCCCTCCCACGATCGTTCGCCGCTGTGTGCGTGTGTTCCGTTTTACCGAGCGCGTCTCGAGGGATGTCACCCCCCACCCCTCCTCTCTTTCTCCTCGCTCCTCCTTCTTTCTCCCTTCTTCCAACTGGAAACGCTTTCGAGCCACTCGACATCCGGGCAACCGAGCAAAACCAGTCATTTCGAAACGAAAGAAGAAGGTTTTCTCGGTTACCGGCCTTTTCCACCGTTTGAACCGTTGCCGCGTGTCGTTTCGCTCCCCTCCTCCACTCCGCTCTGTTCTCCGCTCCTTCGGGCACGTGGTAAAAAGGTGAAATGCGAGAAGAAGAGCGAGGGAGAACGATTCATTCATCCCGTGGCTACCATCCTGCCTCGCGAGACAATGTTACTTTGTCGACCTTAACCGACATCGGGCAGGTTAAGCGGTTTCGACTTGTAATTCTCCGCCGCTTTTCACTCGAGGGAAAAAAACGGCCGTTTTACAGGGGAGGCGCGCAAACAATCCCCGGTTTTGTCCACTTCCGCCCCTTCCCCGTGTTATTTGCGAAACGAGAGTGGGATTTCCGGTGCGCATAGCCGGCGTAACAAGTTCCTAGATAACTAACGAATCTCGTTGCGGCTGTTCTCCCTCTCCTCCACCCCCTTTTCCCTCGATTCTTTTTTATTCTCTGTGAGTTAAAAGCCGCGGGTTATCGCGAATCTGGTCTCCAATTTCTAACGTTTGTCAAATGATTTCTCAATTATGAACTTTCATGCGCTCTGTTTCTGAAAATATTATAAAAGGATCGTTAAGATTACCTTTATCTTAAAATCGATCGTCGATATTACGATTCACTGAAGATGCAAAATAATTCACGAGAGTTTATCACATTGGTTTTAAAGATTATTTGCTGGTACACTTCTTTTCTTCCACCGCAATCTTTTCGACCACCGTTCTTCCCGTTCGAACCGAAACGTTCATCGCGAACATACTCTTAATACTCGTTTATGCAAACACAAATGCAACCTTAGCTTTGATGTTCACAGGTCCACGCTCATATCGAAGAAGCAACGGTAACGACACTCTCCCTAATACCACTCGTATCCCGATCGCGCGAAATCTCGGCCGAGCTGGCCATAAACCGTCGTAAAACCGCGGTGGACCCTCGTAACCGTTTGACGTTTCACGTGATGGCTCTCTCTCGCTTACCTTTCGTAAATTTATCTCGGGCCTACTACCGTCTCGACTCTCTGCTTACGCGTTACACTCGATCCGTTTATCCGCGATCGAATCGAACGTTAACCATCCTCCTTTTATACTCTCCTCCATCCGTTGAAACGCGGTCGCGGGATAACGGCCGGCTTACGATCTTTCCCGTGCTGCAAATTCCACGAGGTCCATTTCGAGCGGGGCGTCGCTCGAAGGAATGGTACCTTTCGATGCACTCGATCAGTTTATTTTCGGATGGATTAACACGTTCGTGGCCACACCAAGAATCGACACAGAATTCTTCTAACGGTGGATATCGATTTGAACACGTTGCAGAGAACAGTAAAAGGAGAGAACCGCGAGGTTGAAAATTGCCGTGTATACTGACGAGAGTACGAAGTTTTGAATGTTTATCCAGTAAGAGGGGAGAACAAGGATACGTGCGTGTACATGTGAGTGTTTGTTTATTCGACGAAAGGAAGAAGGGATAAGGAACGTTGGTGATCGACGATAAATTTTCAAAGACTGTGTGTCCTTATGTTTACATACTGAACAATTTCTAAAAGAAATTGTATATTGCGTTAAAAACTTTTCACATTCTTTTTTACGAAATGATTCGAATGTATTAAACGTTTCTCGAAGATTCGATTTAAAACCTTAGATAGTTAAAGGAAGAGTCCTCCTCCTCGGATTTCGAATATACTCGAAAATACAACGAAACGCGTGAGAAAATGTTGTTAGTGCGATCGGATGGTATATGCAAATCGGCTAGATTTACGGCGGTAATTACACGAGCTCGAGGTTTTTGCGATCAAGGTGATCGAGGAAGAGGATCCTCCGCTCGGATATAATAAAGGTAAGCGTGATCCTGCGTGCGGCGTAACGAGAACCCGATCCGTGGAACGAGCGTAGGATCGAGCGTTAGCACTTTATAGACGATAACTGAAACTATCTCGAGGTGGATGGTCGACGGTCTAGGGTAGGTAACTACTAATCGAAGCGGAGGAATCGACGTTTCTGGCCCTGCGGCGCATTCTCATCGGTGGAGCACGCGTTCGAGGCCTGTTATTACGCCAACTTCAAACTACCACCGCATCATAATCGTGGACCGGTCTCTCCACCTTCTCCTCGATGATATACGTATCACGAGTGTGCAGTTGAACGTGAGTAAGGGAGAAAAGGGAAAATAGGAAAGGGAAGTCGCGAATAGGCGACTGACGTGAAGAATAAGGAAGAATACAAATTGACGACACGAGTAACGAAAGCGTGGAATTAATCGTGGGATCGAATCACCGTTTTCACTTGAATCTTTTTTTTTTTTTCTTCTTCTTCTTAAGAATCGATGCCAATTAAAATACGATCATCGTTCGAATGATTCCTCCGGAGGATCGATCGAGAGAGAGAGAGAGAGAGAGGAAGGAAAGTAACTTAACCGTAAATTA